GAGCGTTCTTACTCATTTTGCCTCCGAGAAATGAGCAAAAACGGGACGGAAAACATGAAATTTTGGCATAATCTTGCACCTAAGTGTCTGATATTTAAATTTCGCTTGCTGGTTCAAAACTACTCGAATTTACTCACTCACGTTGTTACGACTGAATCGACGTTTCAATTCTCTATCCAACGATGCCAAAACGAATTCTGTGGCGCAAATGGTTCTTGAGAAACTTCGAATAAAGGCCATTTAGTTATCTCTGGAGTGATGTAAAAACGAGCGTTCTTGCTCATTTTGCTTCCGAGAAACATGAGAAACGGGACGGAAAACATGAAATTTTGCAATAATCTTGCGCCACCCTTGCACAACCCCTGACTTTAAAGCTGGATCCGCCCCTGAAGACAATATTGAAACGTACAAAAATAAGTCGTAATAAGATTTTTGCAGATTGAAAAAACTTGAACCACAAAGAGCTGGATGAGAGCAACTTTTACAATACCGGCTCAGCTTCTCAATCTTCTCGGATTAATAATAATACATTAAAAAATTAGAAAAATTAGCCAAATAATTAAAAAAACACACTGACTTGACACGCAGAGAAAAATGCGAACTGGTTTTTAAGGACTGACTGAAATATCAAATGGAATCGCAGCTCGCAGCAGCTAATTAGATTAAATCAATGTTGAGTGATATCAAAGCCGAGTGTTGAGCAAATATCGACTTTCAGCACACCTTTACCTATCAGCACGTAATGAAATAGAGGAATAAATTTGCGCGTTGACTTGAAGCAACAAATGTGTTCGTTCCATTCGTCAAAATCGGAATGAGTACGAAAAATAACTGAAAAAAAATGATACAATTTTCGAAAACGGAAATAAAATAAAGCGAATTTTAGTTGATTTTCAAATTCTCATTTGCACCCTGCAGCTTATCAAAGGCAAGCTAAAAGAACAAAACAAACAGCGAAACCTAAGGAACAATCGGAGAAAGTAAAGGAATGTAAAGACCAACATTATATGTATATATTTTTTAGTTACTGACAAAATAATTCAGTTCTCAGTTTTAAGACAATTCACTTCACTTGAAACACACAAGAAAAGCCTTGAGCCCCTTTGCAGATTCTATTTGTTTAAGGAACATGTATATGAAAAAGTTTGCACTGCTTCCCATATGAACTTACCATGTAGTTATCTCCATGTTTATTTCCAAGCATATGAGCTGCCTGCCTCTGTCCCTGCCGATAAGAATGGGAGGTAACAGAAGCAGGAAACCACATCGATATGATCCTTTCTGTGACATAGCTCAAATCCATCGTCCCTTGAACGTTGCTGGTTGGTCTGGTTGTTCTGGGTTGGCTGGTAAGCGCCCCTCCATAGCCATTGAAAGATGTCGATCTTAACATCTAGAAAAAAATACGAAATATGAAATTTTCACCTGAGTGTAGTGGAAAAAATGCAACGTCTCCAGAGAATAATTACAGAAACTGTAGTTTATAGTCGTCTTAGCATTTTGATGAATTCCTTATACTACCAAGCCTCATTACATATTCAACATGCTAACTAACATGTTCAGCTAATGACCGTTTGAATACATGAATAACCTTCAGCTCAGAAGGAAAATCGGTTTTGTTGTTACTGTTAAACAATGCCGGTGCTATTAGGCCCCATACGATCAACGGCAAATAAGGCAATAAATTATTCTGCCATTAAATATCAAGTGAAATCAATAGTGAGATTTTTTTGCATATGAACAACGATTTATTTATTGCAATGACTATTAACTGTCCATTTATTCTATACAGTAATGGTGAGTGTTCGTAATCGGTATGTCAACGGTTATTTATATAAATATCTTCGGCAAATGTTTCACAATTGAGTTTGGAGAAAGTTATGCTTAATTTTTGCAAAATGTATTTGGTTTTTCCAAACAATTATTTCAGGTTTGAAAATCTTCTTCAAATAATTTTGTAAATAAAATTTCTTGTTCTAAAACGTATGGAAATTGCGATCCCATTGCGCCAAATATGCGAGTTTTAGAAGCATCAGAGTTACATTTTAACTTAGTATGTTTATAAAATAGGACTTCTTACAATTTTCAACTGCAACTTCCCCTTCAGCTTCCTACCGCAGTCCAACAAAGAAAAACCTAAAGTTTCCAGTACGGGCACGTTTTAATTGCCATGTTTTGAATTAACATTACGCTTAGCCGATAAATCGAAGAGATAACGCGAAGGTGTGCGTCTATTTATCCATCAGTTTATGCTGAATTAATTATACTACTTTGCAGATTGATTTCGTAAAAATTGATAAACCGAGACGGGCATTGAATTACTGCGTGCATAGATGATTGGTGTGATTTCAGTAAAATTGGACTGAAAAGTGTAGAGGATGAATTGCAACAAAACGTTCTCCAACAATTCAAAACCCATTCCCTCTGATAATTAGTAAATTTAATTAATTGAAAGTGACGATATCTTACCTTATTATTAACCTCCGATCCATTCTTGTATGGTTCATCATGGGTATGCTGAAACAACAAGAAAATCGTATAGAAACCGAAAGAAAACAAACAAACATCAATTGTATGTCAGAAAGCAATTAATTCATTTCCACATCGTGCAATATTTGTTGAATTTTTTGACTATTTGCCAACCAAGTCATATACATGTTCGTTATCAGAATGGCGCCAACATGCTTTCGAGACCGTTGTAGGTGTGGTCAATTTTCGTGGGATTATTTATTTTAGCTATCTTACCGTTTGTTAGTTTGGCAAAACGTGTACATTTGGACGGCTTTTGTTTCCCACAGATAGAACCAATTGGTCAAGAAAAAGGCAGATTATAGATAATAGCACATTAGTGGCTAATTTAACGCGTTTCGGTTTTTTGCCCTTGTTTCATCGAATAAACATTCAGCAACTGAACAAATTGATCCCACACTTTCAGCATTCATCATTTTATACAAGACGACTAGGGGACTGTTAAACATATCACTAATTGTCTAGTGCTAATATCCATTTACAAATATCCTCAAGAAATAATTGACTTCGACAAAATTATCGAAAATAATTATTGGAACCATATAAAAGCCTTATTACCATAATGAAACCTATAAAGAGTGCAATTATTCAATATAACATATTGCATGTGCCACAGTTTCTAGAAAATTATCCGCAACTAGGATACGGAATTATGTGTAATTTTCTAATTATGAGGAAAACGTGTTTGCCTTTGAGTTTAACGAAGTCATTAGGTCCGAGCTACCGGAGATTAGAAAAAGCCACATTACCACGCAATTAGGTTGTGCGTAAATACGTAAATAAATAATGGCGAATTATTTATCGACGGGCCTTTATAAGCTGAAAGTCGATCGATTGGCCTTTAATTATGAAAATAATCGATATTGATTTGTGAATCACATTGCCTGCAGCTGGTAATTTTACTGAATGATTTGCCTACTGCTTAAGGATCGAATGCAGGCAAGAATAAATAAAGTGTGTTTTAACTCAATATCTGCAATCATCATTATTGGAAATTGGAATAAGAACTGCTTAAATAAAACCCGAAAATGATGTGTTTAATGTTGCAAAGATAATTTCCTCAATTTATGTCCAAATGTCCGAAACATGAAACTTCTAATATGCTAAAATTTTAATTACTGTTTGAACAGTAATTAAAATTTTTTAAAACGCTTAAACGCGTACTCTAAAAAATCTGATGAAAATCTCTCAATACCCAGCACCGCATGTAAATAAACACACGATCCCTCTGTGCATTGCAATGGAGCGAATTCAACTCCTTCATTCTAAATATAAAGAATGATCTTCTGCAGTCGATTGCCGAGAACAGGGTGCCTCTTATAATATACATCCAAAAGGGAAAAAACAAACACAGAGTTAATGCTGCAGAAAATAAAGCAATCCGAATGTAGTTCCGTGCGTCTACTTAATCACTTATGCTGTTAAGAGTTTATTTGATCAGACGTTTTGATTGATTGCGCGCATTACAAAGTGAAGATGTTAAAGATCTGGATACTATTAATTAAGTCATAAGGTAGATGTCGGATGTTGCTGATGCATTAGTTGGATTTCTGGTTTTTTGTCTCACCCTGTAGCGTTCCATCAAACATGCTTCGTTTCTTTGCAAACTAATAGAAGTACTTGCGCATTTCCTCAACGTATAAATTTGGCCTTCCATATTTAGTTAACTAGCTTTCAATTTTTCATTCTCAATAAAAGTTTCCTCTGTGCCCCCTGTTTTCTTTACTTGAAAACTAATATGGATTGTATCTAGTTCTATTCTTAATTTGTCCACTTTTAGAGTTTTTCCTAAGAACTGTACTTCGACATTTGCACATTTGTATGGTGCTTCTTAGATGTTTTCTGGTTGCGTAATAATTTACTGTTCATTGCAAAATAGAGTTCGTTCGTGCTCTAGTGGATGTCTAGTTTTTCCTCGAAGTTTCTTATTTTTTCATATTTTTTAAAAGCTGTACTCATCCTCCTACAGTTATTACAGGGTTTGCATACCTAGATTTACTACTTTCAATTTTCATTCTACATTCATTATTTATTTTCATTTTACTTGATGTTAATTTTTTGCTTTTTTTCTTCCCAAGACGTCTTGAAAATTTGCTTTTCCAGATAGTTTAGTTGCTTATTATGTTATTAAAAATGCATTTTATCGTTTACGCAAAATAAGCAAAAGCAAGTCTTGCGATTTTTCTTTTCTACAGCTTCTTTGCTCTTCTATATTCTCTCTAATTTGTTGTAAGTGTACAAAAATGTTCCCTTTGTTTTCCTTCATATCGCCAGCTAATTTTGATAGCTGGTAACGCACAAAAACATATTTATGCATCAAATAAAAAAATCGTACACTACCAGATGCTCTTCACAGATCAGAGAGAACAAAATACAGAAATAAACAACAGATTAACGTTAAGAAACAACACAAGAACAAGCGTTTATTAGCAGTTGTTTTGTGGCTCCTCTACCAATTTATTAAAATGGGTTACCACGTATCAGCATTAGGGTACCGATTCTTCTGCTTCATATATTTGTTTTTTTTCTCATATGTGCATTTTCCGAGAATTTTTGTTCTTTTTTAATTGAGTTCTCATTTCCCCTGATCACCCTACTGTTTGTTTCTTGTTGCTTTCCTCTTCTTCACAGTTATTTTGCTGGTGTCGATTTCCACGATTTCAAAATATTACTGTTATGGTTCCATAATGCCTTCTTGCTTAATTTTTGAGCGTCTACGATTTTTTTGTTTCTACTTTTATGGACTTTTTTGCTAGGAAATATATTTTAAATTTTAAAAGATGCAAAAAAATTCCTTTAGAAACTGAACGTTTTTGCAAAGTTTTTAATTGAGATTAAGAGAAGCAATGATGATTCAAGTATTACATTAATTGTAATTCACATGTAAATTATTGGTAAAAATTCAAAAAAAATTGAATTACAAAAGAACTGAACCAGGTAAGAGATCTTGCATATCTCGATTGTGATTCAGCTGACGCGGAATCACATAAACTTGTTGACGAAATAGCAAATGATAATAAATTGCCGAATGGAAAAGATGAAGATCTTTATAATAAAGTTCCTAGAAAAGGAAGAGTTGGATTTCTATTCGAAAGTGAATGAAATTATGGACTGGATATAACTCCTTCCAAAAAAGAGCACGAGATTTTCCTAATTTTGAAATCGAAATTGAACAAAACAATTCAGATTTCAGGATGTAAAAACTTGCTGACGGGGCATGATCGAAAACGCTGAAAATGCAGGAAATAGCATTTGAAAAAAACATTCTACTAGATCCTGGATAGAGAGCAGATTCTGAGGGAGATTCTAAGTCAAGATGAACAGTCACTTTGAACTTTGAGAGCAAATGAACTGAAAATGTTTAATTGAAAACATGAAATTTCCTGACTGAGAACAAGTAATCAAGCATTCAGCTGACAAGAGCAACAACTGTTTTAAATGCTAGTAACCTAAATGGGATTCAACAATTTTCAATGGAAATGGAACCCAATTGTTTCTCAACTATTTAATATTCCTCATAGTTCCCTGCATGAAGCAATGCTGATCTTGTCCAAATGAGCACTATAAATGACCGAATTCGAGTCCCAAATCATATGAAGCAATCGCTTTTAACATCGATGACTGATACCGCACGCTAGTTGGGTTTTAATAAATAGTATGGCAATTTTCAACTCGAATTACCTGTGATTTGTTTTCAATATGAAAGGACACGTGCCAAACGGTAAACGCCAGTTGGTACAACATTTTCGCAGTACTGTCGTTCAAGGCTCGGTCGTTTTTCCTGGAACTGTGGCTTTTCAACGAGAGTTGCGATTGGGATTTTTTCACAGACATTTTTCCTCTAAGGACAATATAAAAATATTTTTATCACAGATTTCCGGTCATCAAAACGCCGAATCGGGACAACTCGGACAAAGTGCATAATCACAGAACTGCAGCTACAACTAAAAATATCACAACATCACGCCCCGTTGTTGCGGCTTTTTGAATGATTCGGGCATTTTTCACATTCTGGTTCTTTTGGCTGATGCAGTTTGAACTACACGCGACTTTTACGCCGGACATCAGGTAATGCGGTAGAGCGACACGCCCCGTTTGTATTGTCGGAATCCAGAATCCAGACTCCCTGTCTCCCTGTAAACTCTCGGATGGAGTCCTGTTCGGGATCGCTCGTTTTTATCCACATCTTTGGGATCACCCGGACCGAGAAGTGCCGAAGTCGTTCTTCTGGCGGCTTTACCATTGCAGTTTCTATAGCGACACAAGAACGCTTCTTTGCGTCTTTAAAAACCCATGAGGCTGATGTGAATGCAAAGAGATGGACAAATTGGTTTTTAAATTGTGAATCAACCGAGCGAAGGTGAAACGGAAATTGCAATTTGTAGTTATTTCAGGGGGGCGACAAATCGCCATATGAAGTTGAACATTTATTGAAGATGAAATTGGTTATGTCTGGTTAATTGTTTGGTCTTAGAAAACCAGATGGTTTAATGGCGGTACATAAATCCAAGGCTATTTCTGGCAGGTTGGCATCGAGCTAATGAAAAACTTTATTGCCCACAGCACTTGAAAAGCGTTTAATCTCTTATGTTTCCAATTGAATAATCGCAATAATAAAGCGAGTTTTTGCCATATTTTTAGTCGGTTTCATTACCATAGGCAAGGCGTTTTCAACATTGATTCCGGATTGCTTTCCATGTTGCGCGATTAATCGAAAATCAATCAGCACATGTAATTTTCTACGGTTTTTAATGCCATAAATTCTGATAAGATGCTTGACAGGTTGGTTCAGGAACAGATCAGATTTTTCCTCCTCCACACCTAGAAAATCTATTTTTATATCGGGGACGCTTAAAGGTTTTTGTGAAACATTTGTATTTGCTTTCCGTTAGGAATTAGTTCAATTGCTAATAAATACTGCTATTTAACCAAGGATGGACAGATAAACCTACACATTTTGTACAATAGCTGATAGAGGTTTATTAATA